TTGGCTTTGAATTTCTTTGTTAACTTTTTTGTTGAGGCAAATTTCTTAAAAGTATCAAAGATATTCACTCTAAACTCAGGAATACATTTACTTGTGCACTATCATATTTGAAATGCATTTCTGAGTGGCATCTATCCTGAAAGCCGTTTTTTTTCTTTATTTATTTCTCGTTTTTACTTGGAATATTTGCCCCTTTTCTAAAAAAAAAAATCGTTAAAGGCATTCACATGAAATTTGAAATATTTTTTGACTATTTAGAGCAGGTATTTTTGTCTGCTAAGCATGTTTGTAGGATTACACCCACCTCACTAAATCAATTTTACGACGGTGATCGAGTGTTTTAAATATACAAACTGACACGTATTTTTTTTTACTTATCACTATGCCCCCTCCACCCTTTGACCACACAACACTTCTTGATATAATAATAATAATAATAATAAATACCACATTTATATAGCGCCCTTTTCATTAAAATGTTCAAAGGCGCTTTACATCAATCATATATGTCTAAAACAATATAAATGAACAGGATTATGAACATTAAAAAATATTTTTGCATTAACTAATTAAAAGTATAAATTATGGGAATTATTTTTACATATTAATACAATATAACTTAAAGATCCTTAAAAAAAACTCACTTTACAATATTATTGTCATACATTAAAATTGTCTTCAATATATAAATGTGTAAGAAATAATGTGCCTTTTAAGCATAAACTCATAAATAAATATTAAAAGCTACTTTTAAAATGCATATTGATGATTTCATTGTTTTGTTGTCATATCTTTACAACAGAAAATATATGAACGATTGATAAAAGAATGAAATACAGCGACATCAGACTAAAAGAATATTGAACCTAAGCGAACCTGGATAGCATGAGTAACTGCTACAGCCAAGGTCCAGTACCGAGGAAGTCAGATACCTCCCCACAGTGCATGCAGACCCCAGGATGACAGATCAGCACATACTAGGAGGAAGGCCAGCCCCACACCTTAACACGCAACTAAATATCTTGAATTTCTGACCCCTCTGCCATTCAGAAGCCATATATTATATAACACATGTAAATAATTATGACTAAATCATGTGTTAGTTTTTTTTTTTTTTTTTTTTTTTTTTTGATTAAAAAAAGAAATATTCTGTGCTTAAAAATGCTAGCATGGATTTATAATAATAGATAAATCTTGCTAAATCATCCGTATACGAAACAATAGAAATACTAATGATTTAAATTGTTTGTTTAAAAAAAAAAAAAACAAAAAAAAACAACTTTAATAAAACTAATATTCAAATAACAGATACTTCGTAATTCACTGTTTATAAAATTCATTCATAACAGTCACTGATTATTTTCCATACAAGCTAAATTGAAGTAGTCGTGTTTAAGATGTTTTTTGAAACTTTTCTACTGTGTTTACAGTTTTTTAGATGACTTGGTAGTGAATTCCATAGCTTAGAGCTGATGCCTTGAATATTATTTATTCTTTCTCACTCTATATATTTCAGTTTATTTTGTTGTCATCTAACGTACAGGTGCATTGAAGAGAGGATCGGGAAGGGAATTTAAACTTGAATCATTTTCCTGGCATATTATTGATGGATGATGGTTCAGTGTATCGTATTATGTTAATTGTTTATTATAAGATCTTGATTCACTCTATATTCGATTGGGCAGCAATGAAGATCTTTCCATCACTGGTGTAATAATGATCTTTGCGCTAGAATGGTACGTTTTAATCACACGGGCTGAAGATTGACAAGTTGAAGTTTTTATGCTTGTTCGAGGTATATCCATATAGAAGAGCATTGCAATAATCCAGTCTTGATGTCACGAGAGAGTTAACGAGTGTTTTTGTAGCTTCTTCGTTGATATATTTTCGAATACGCCTATCTTACTTATTTTGGGCATACGAAATTTCTGCACACGGAGCTAACATGATGTTCCATATTAACCCTTTGAATCAAGGAATGCACCCAAATTCCTTCACATCTTGATGACTGTTTGATTTCAGCTTGTCCACATTGACAGTTATATTTTTCACTGGAGTCTGTATTGCTACTTGAACGAAAAGACTATAGTTTCTGTTTTGTCTGAATTCAGTTTGAGAACTGTTGCCTGTTCATCAGATAGTTAATTTCTTTTAAGCAGTTTTGAAGACAGAATCAAGTACAAGTCAGTTTTGGTGTTGTTCAACGGTTTTGAAAGAAATGTATATTTGAGAATTCGCAGCATAGAAGTGACATTGCAGAGCCCATGTTTTCGAACAAATTTCGCCGACAGGTTTTGTGGAAAAGTCAGTAAAATTTTGGTCCTAAGAGCCCTGAGGGACACTTATGTCATATGACAGGGTCAATAGTTCTCCATCAATACAAACAGTCTGATAGCACCACTAGATAAGATCTACACCAAGCGAGCTACTTTTCCCAGTAACCAAAGTCACAATTCGAGTCGATAAGAAGGTGTTGTGGTCAAATCGGTCAAAGGCAGCAGTAAATCGAGCATTACTAATATTGTAACTTCGCTTTGGTCAAGAGATTGGGAGAATGTCATTTTGCACGTTGATAAGTGCAGTTTCTGTGGAAATGAAATTTCCTGTATCAGATTGATTTGGTTCATGTTAGATTGTTAGTGTTGAGAAAACATAATCAACGACAGTCAGCCGCAGATTCTAGAAGTTTTGAGTCCAATGTTTCATTAGCCACTGGTCTATAAAGTTTTTCATTTTAATTTTTGATCAAATTGTCTTCTTTAATAGTGGTCTGAATCTATCGAAGCTTAATTGCGTGGGAGGGTACGTCGGCGGTGGTAAAATGATAAAGTTGAACATGTTGCGTTAGATATGGTGATACTTCAAGTTGCATTCTTTTAGGAGCCAAGTCGGTATCGGATCTGAAAAGAATGACAAGATTTTTACTTGTATATTTTGTACTGATTGTATTAGCTCTGTCTAGCTCAGAGTCCGTACAAACAATTTTACATGCAAACACAATTTCAAGCTTGAGCTTTTTCAACAGCAACATTTCTCCAACAGTAATCGCCGAGTCACCTTTGTTTTCCGAGGGAGCATAATCGAACAGCATTACATATTTATACCCGCTCAACAGGGACTTGAAAATATTCATGTGAATTCTCTGAGCTTCGTCAATTACATCTGACCTTTTTGTAAGCAATGGAGAAAGTTTATAAGTTTCTTCTGGATTGTTTGTAAGATCTTTTGAGAAGAAGTCGTTGATGCTGAATGTTGCTGGCTTTGACAGAGATAACTTATCCCGCAAAGATCTATAGCTATTATTATTTTCATCAGCATATTTTATGGTATATTTCGGTAGCGGTAGCCCCAGCTTCGTCTTAGGTATCTCGAAGAGTTGATACCCTGTCAGACTAAACAAAAGGATTGTAGCTAATGTAACGAACTGTCCTCTATAGCTCATCACAGCTGAAACATAAAAATGTAGTTTTATTCTAAATGGTACTATTTATATACTAGAACATGAACTTTAATATTTGTCCGAGACTTCATCAAATAAACTGATACATCAAATAAACACCAACGACCGCAGAATCATAGAAATTGATGTAAGATTATGTTACTTTGACTTCATCATAATTGAATTATAAGACGAAACCTTCGTTCTAGACATTATCAACATAAATACATTTAGCTCCAAGCTAAACTTTATAAAATGTTTCGATATCTAACAGGTTTTGCAACTTTTATTAGGGTGGGTGATCACGTGACATTTGTCTACGGTAAAATTGGGTCACCGCTGATCGCCGCGACAATGATCTTAAAGTATTTGCTAATTTTCTTTGTATCTTTCAATATTTGAATAATATTTACATAACTTTTCTTTGCATCTGTTTTATTTTTCCCATTAAGATTGCAGAAAATTTTCTGTGCGGCAATATTAATGAGAATTTTATTTTTATCAATTAGGCATAACTTTTCCGTGCATATGATTTCATTATAACAATGCAATCTAATTAATTTAACATGAATATTTGTGTAACTTCACAGATGATAAAGTTTGATGCTTGACAACGTACGCCTTATTATTTCAAGTCTTATAAAATTTTATTTTACACATGAAAAAATATGAACCATTCATTAAAAGTAAAGACTCTTTAAAAGTGGGAGGAAAATTAATAACAAAAACGTTAAAAAGTGTAAGCAATATCATAAAAGTATTACAAAATCTTCAACTCACTTTTCAATACTTTACGTGACTCTTTGCCGATTGGGTTGTTATCCAACTCTCGTAGTTTAGAAAATGCATAAATTGCAAGACCTTTTACACAAATGAAGAGTCCAATTATATTTACGATTGACGATGTTTTGGAACCTGTCATGTACAACAAACCAAGAACAGCTAGCCTTTTCAAAATGTTTCCAAATGCATGGCCAACAACGGAAAAATGGTAGAGTACAACTACTGTAGATATGTAGCTATAAATAGCATGAAATAAAGAAGATCCTACGAGAAGAAAGTATAATTTTGCGGTTCCTGAGGGTGCTGTCCCGATGTTGACAAGAACAATTGCTCCTAAGGCACAAGCAATGAAAATTGCTAATCCAATACGGATTTTGTTTATTTTGAAATTAGAATTCGATATATGATTCTTTTTCATGTAAACATTCCTCAGCGATAAACATATATTAGATATAAACGCCAGAACAGTTCCATGGGAAACATTTATCTTCCATGTATCATTTTCTTGTGCAAATAATATTGCACCAACAACAACAGCTGGAATACTGGTCCATTGTAGATATGATAATTTGATTTTAAGAATTAATTTTTGTAATAGAACACTGGTTATAGGTTCCATGAGTTTAACAGCAAATGTAGATGCTGCATATGTAACAGCCATGCTCCAGTTTGTTGCTAAAGTCGCGCATGCGTGAGCAGTAAAAATGACAAGCTTATGAACCATAATTCCTTTATTTGTATCACCCGTAAATGATGCTACTTGCATGTAGAGGAATACTTGTAGTACAGTTAAAACAATCACGTTGAATTCACTTCCATGAATAAACGATGTCGATTCTTTGAGAAATAGTTTCGCACAGTAATGGCATGCGAAAGATGTTAACGTCCAACTAATGAAAACGAACAGCATCATTTGGCTTAACTCCTCAAGCTATGAAAAGAAAAATGAAAAATTCAAGATTAGAATAAAATTCATAGTTAAAGTCAGCTTAACTTGAAGTAACTATTTTGATTCATATTTGTTTTAAGACAATATTATTTCAATGTGATAAACGCATTGTACATATTGTATGCCATTTTTTTTCATCATTTCAAAACAGTCCTAAAACCACCGTGGTGTTCGGCATTTCTTTAAAGTACTTATGTTTCGTTTTATTTCAGGCTAACTAGTGAGATAATGGGTTTTATCAGTATGATAAAATTCATATCACCCACAGTATAGCTCTGCCGGACTACTTTTGGCGTAAGTTTTATTTTTATGACTCCGTCAATTTGTAAATTTACATATAGGTTTATATCTGTGTTCTAAATGGCATAAATTTCATTTCGAATGTCATTATTTCTCTTAAATTGTTAAAAGTTACTCAGCCATAATGAATAAAACTCGAGCTACAACAGTCGTAAATTGCTCATATTATACGTACTAGGCTGAAATGTGATATTGTTTTTGTTAATATGCGTAATATCACACATTCTGTGTGTGATATAAAGCATATTAACTCAAAGCAAACAAATAACCTCCATATTTTTTTGCAACGCGCACGAATCTTTTGTCTTTCTAGAACATAAACTTTCGAAGTAAAATTCCCCTGATCATTACATAATCGTAGCTTGATATGTTCACTAGGATGAGTAGACCTGATTGTTGAATTAAAAAAACGCAACAGAAGAAAATGTGGTATTAAGAACACGCAACAGGAGAAAAAGGTGAGTCAAATAATTTAGAAATACGTTACTTTTTGGATTCTTTAATAGTGCCCCAACATTAAAAAGCTTTTGTGAAATAGAAATAAAAGTATTTATACGAGTGAGAATCGAACAGTATTACATGACAATACAAAGTCGCTAAATGAATATCTTAGTAAGAGAGGTTTCTCACACTGCGTGAATAAAGAGCATCGTGATTGAAACTAGGGGTGGCACGTTTATCCTTTTAAACGGGTACTGTCGGCTAAAACCTTGATAGGAAACTCAATAGCCGGTAACAGAGGTTAGTGTATAAAAAAGTGCCGATTTCGAAAAAAATCTAAACATTACCTATGCTTTTTAATAAGACGATATGACATTCTATTTGTATTTCAATTTTTTTATCCTTTTGCATACTAGCTGATCGTCTACGGTACTGTCCTTACGGAATTTAGTTATTTTATAATCGAACTTCTCTTGTTATCATTGTAGAGTACAACAAAATACAAACAAGAGCTAATTTTGGAAATCTAAGAATTTTACTACTACCGATGCTTATCTTTTAACATGATTATTAGGTTAAAAATTATACCTAGAAATAATAACGATTTGTTATTTCGGTATTTCTAATACTGTGAGGTGTTTAAGCATTAACATGGTTCGAAAGATTCTATAATGTTAATTTATGCTTTTGATTGTTTTCACAAAAGAGCAGAAATAACTTGTTTTAAATTGATAGGCAACGCGTGAATATTTAAAAAAAAATGCATGCTGTCACGGCGATTTGTTTAAAAAAAAAAACGTTAAATAAGAACACTATAATTTTCATGTCATGCCAAAATCGAATCTTTTTTTTTCTAGTCAAGCGTGAAAAGCATGGTTTACATTGGTTTTAATCGTTACAAGTTTTTCGTACTTTATAAAAATTGAGGCCATTTGATTTAAGGACACATATTTTGTTAACGGGACCGCATTTTGCTATGGAGCAGAATTTGGGTATTTATTCATTTGACTACTTCTTGTTTTCTTTTGCTTAAGTTTAAATCATATTCCTACAAATTTGATTCATCTGTGAGTAAATCAAAGTTCTTTACTTAAAATTTATTTATTATTTTTTACTATGTTTATAGTTAGTTGTAATATTCTAAAGCCAATGCCAGTACTTCATCTTAATTCGTTTAATTTAATATACAACACAATAAATTACTGTTTGCTTTAAACATGTGCTATTTCTACTTATTTAAAAGAAAGTGTGTTTACTCGAACTTGTTTCTTACACATGTATTTGTGCAACTCTTATTCCCATTCGATTCACACTGAAAATAAATTTATATGTAGAGGCTATAAGAATTGTTGTTATAGAGATTTATCCATATTTTAACTTTATGAAAATATTAACATTAAACAACCTTAAACGAAATAAGACTGACTCATTTCAATAAGAAGAACAGCAGAGCCGATGAAAACTAGAAACCACGTGATTTATATTTGCTTTTTGTGTCCTAGCTGGGTACCAGACCTAAAATTCTAGCGCAAAATCTTAGTGACGGGAGATAACTCATGTATTTTGGTATTTTCCGTGAGCACAAGGTGTGAGGATACAATGATACGCGGCGATTTAATCTAAGTTTATAGGTAGCACACCACAGTAATGTAAGCCACAGCTTCGAATGGCCAGGGAGGATTTCTTGAATATAGTGAATATTCTGGATTTAACCTTTAACCCCATTTTGTGAAAAATGGCCGTTTTCATTGAAAAGCCTTCTGTTACAATGCTATGAAACTATGAAAAATGCTTCAATATTGATGAAACTGGCACAAATGTGGACTGGACCATAGCCTCGGTAACAGCATGCTCAATCTTTAATATTCTGTTACCATTGCAACGGGAGGGACGTCTCAAATTTTGCATTGTTGTTTTTCCATCAAAACTGTTTTCAAAGTGCTGCAACTTCTCAATGAATTAAGATAGAGTATAAGGCTTTTCATCGTCGGTTACTAGTTACCCTGAGATCGACCAGAGGCTATTTTTAGCCTGTTACATGTCCAAAATTTTCTTGGCGATGAGGGGGACTACCGCACCCTTCAAAGCCCCGAAACAGAAGGGGGCACATCCCTTTGTCACTTTAAATAACGAAGTTTTGGACGGACACGATATTGCTGCAAGGTCATGCTTTGACCTTGACCTTCAAGGTAGCCCTCCAAATGTTGCTCGCGACACGTCGTCTCAATATGGTGATCATTTCTGTAAAGTAGTTTTAAAATACGACTTCAAATAAAGTAATGGGCCGGACAAGATTTTGCTGCAAGGTCATGCTGTGACCTTGACCTTCAGGGATGAACAAAATGTTGTGCGCGACACTTTGTCTCAATATGGTAATCATTTCTGTGAAATAGTTTTAAAATCCGATTTCAAATAGTGAAGTTATGGACCGGACACGGTTTTGCTGCAAGGTCATGCTGTGACCTTGGCCTTCAAGGTAGCGACCCAAATGTTGCGCGCGACACGTCGTCTCAATATGGTGATCATTTCTGTGAAATAGTTTTAAAACCCGACTTCAAAAAACAAAGTTATGGGCCGGACACGAATTCAGGACGTACGTACGTACGTACGGACAGACTGATAGACTGACGGACGGACGAACGGACAACCCGACGTCTATGCTCCCCCGAAATTTTTCGGGGAGCATAAAAATCTACAAGGTTGAGCATCAGTTTCTTTGTGATATTTTGTATGTATAGGGAGTTGCTTAAGCAGAGACGGTGTTCCTTTAGCCTGTATAATTGCAGGTATGTTTTGCTAGAGTGACGAAATGTGCTGTTTTCGGTCTCAGGCGACTGTAGATTTTGGGCTTCAACGGAATGAATGGCATATATTTTGATTGCCTTCCTATTACAGATGGGATGATTTCTTTGTAGATTTTTGCAATCTTATGTCATATATGTTCTCAACAAAATGTGTTTTCTTTTTCCATGTTGTGTAGTTTGGTATCAGAATTATTAGACGTATTGCTTGTGGACTGCTACCCTGGATTTCGTGGATTTTTTGAAGAGAATATTTTGAACGGTTACACCGTCAGAAATTACGGAATTGTACGGAAATATTGGTTCCCGGCCTGATGTATAAATTTAAATTTCAAATGTAATTTCGTATTCGTGTTATTGCAGTTCGTATTTGTCTATGTGCATTCGTATAGTTATGTAACCCACTTTGTATTCTTAAAAAAAGACGTTCAAGATCATCAGTTAAAACTTAATTATTCAAATTGAAAAGGAAGAAGTATGCAACATATTATGTAATCACGTTGTTTAAACAAGAAGTAGATAATTTGATTCTTACATTCTGCAGTATCAAAATACAAATAATAAACTGTCAATTAAAATGAAGCAATTAAACTTGTTTAAATCAATTTAAATTTATATGATTATAGATAAGAATTTAATGAATACGAATATAAATTAGATAAATAGAAATTAAAAGATAAACAGCGAATAAATACCCAAATTCTGCTCCATATTTTGCGGCGCATTTTTCGATCCTGTATCAGTCTTACATATTGCTTGTCCGATCTTTAAATATTTTTTCATAATATCCGAGTGGGTGGTCTTTAAAAATAAAAATCAATATAATATGTTAGTTTAAAAATATATCAAATTTATGATAAATTTTATTATACCGTCAGATTTGGTCAAATCTTTAAGTAGCAGATCGTGTTAAATTGGTATTGTTCAGGTATTCTAAGAGACCGTACTCTCGGATAATGCAAAACGATATTAAGATATTTGAGGCCGTCAATATAAGCTGCAATCTGCGGTCCCGTTCCCGAGTTCCTATGATATTGTGATACATGAAGTATAAAGTTTTGAACATTTTTTAAAAAGATTGCAAACAGCCTATTCTCTCTTAACAAGGTGTAACAACCTGTTACGTTCGTGACATAAAGTCATAAAAATATCTTTTTCTTATTTTCCTTATTTATTTTATTTTTAGATGTAAGCAATCTTCTAGCGAAAAGTTATTTTTCTATTACAGATACAAGAAAATACATATCATTCAAAACATTTTTTCTGTATTATAATATATAATATTTCTGTATTTTATTTTCTACAAAATTGTGATATAAACTAGAAATGTGTCCATTGGCCACGGGTGCCCCCACCGCACCACTATTCTGTCAATCTTATGACTCTAAGTCAAATATTTTTTGAAAACTAAAAATCTTTTACTAAGTGGCAAGAACTTTACAAATACTGAATAAATCCACAAGCAAACCCCAAGGTGCATATCTTCACAGTAATGTGAATCATTATTCCTGTAATTAAGTGATGATGATCATTATTCCTGTAAAGTTGGTTGATTCTAACATAATGAAACGTTTTTTACTAAGTCAAGAGAAAAAACTCTACAAATAATGGATAAATCCACAAGCGAAACCCCAGGTGCAAAACTAAATATCCTGAGCAAGCTTCCCGGAAGTTTTAATGACTCTATGTCAAATCCTTTTTGAGTAACATGCGACACAAGTTGAAAATTGCAAAAATTTCTAAGTCAAAGGCAATAACTCTAAAAATACTAAATAAACCCAGAAGAAAATACCCAGGTGCACAACTTCACATGCTGATAAACATTTCTGTAAGGTTTCATGACTCTATGTCAAATCATTTTTGAGTTACATGCGACACAAGTTGAAAATTGCAAAATTTTACTAAGTCAAGGGGTATTACTCTAAAATACTTACTAAATCCAGACGAAAATTCCCAGGTGCACAACTTCTCATGCTGATCAACATTTTTGTAAAGTTTCATGACTCTAGATCAAATACTTTTTGAGTAACATGCGACACAAGTTGAAAATTGCAAAATTTTACTTAGTCAAGGGCAATAACTTTAAAAATACTAAAAATATCCAGACGAAAATACCCAGGTGCACAACTACACATGCAGATCAACATTCCTGTAAAGTCTCATGAGTTGAGTTACGTGCGACACAAAAGAGAACGGACGGAAGGACGGACGGACGGACAAGGGTTAATCTAACTGCCCGCCACTAAAGTGGGGGCACAAAAAAATTGATAGCATGTGACCGTGTAGCAAAGCAAAGGGAGGCCAATGCGTAGGAGATAGATACCATGTATAGCACTAATTGGTTTAAATAAGTATGAAAAAAATGTATTCAACTTTTTTTGCAACTCAGTATATATTCATAAAACTGAACATATCTTAAAGGCACACTGTACCTCAGAAACAAATAACATTTAATGCTTTCAAAAAGGCAAAGTTGATTTTTAAATGTTAAATAATGTTTTAGAGCATGTAAGATGCTTGTAAACTGAAAATGAAGAGACAAATGTATAGTAATTTGTCATTTAAGTAGTAAAATGTAAATAATGTAGTGTATGGACTTCCATACAAAGTATGAAATCACTACAACTGTACTAATTTTCAAAAAGCTAGAGATGAAAAAGATGCATGGTTTAGGCAATTGGATAATGAGTACATTTTTTGAAACTACAAAAACACTGAAGATAAAATCTTTAGAGAAAGAAGAATAAAACCTTTTCTGAGGCATAATGGGCCTTTAACATAAAGTCCTTTTAGATATGCACTGATCTTATTTTGCATTTTTTTATTTTTAGAGGACTTTTTTGTTTAAGATTTCTTATGACGACAATATTCTCGAATAATATTTTGAACATATTTCATATTTTTGGTATGTCATAAGTGCAAACGTGTTTTACGATTCTTTCATGATTAAATGACATAATCTTAGACTCCTATCTTGATAAATATAATTGCTTCATTCAATAGCTTAAAGGCACATTATTCTTTAGAAATGAAATAATTTTTACTTCTTTAGAAAGGGCAAACATGATTTATAACGTTTAAATAATGGTTAACAGCATGATGTATGCTTGTAACATGAAATAGAAGCGATAAATGTAAAATAATTTATCATAAATATAGCAAAACATCAATAAAGTAGTATTTTGACTTCCATAAGAATTATCAAATCACTACAACTGTACGTAACAGATGAAAAAGATGTTAAATGACCAGTGCGTAACATTTTTTTATTTGAGGGCCTCATTGAAGATTGATATGTTTGTTTCAAGTGAGTTCTCTCGTTTAATAACGTCTTTATTATTATCATTTTTGTTATTATTTTTATCATAATAATAATAATAATAATAATAATAATACTAATAATTATTATTATTATTATTATTATTATTATTATAATTATTATTTTTATTATACTCTAAAAGTACACCGAAATAAAAAGCTGCTGAAAAAAAGCATTTCTGAGGAATAATGGGTCTTTAATAATAACAACAACAATGGCGGATGACGTTTGAAATTTGAAAATCTGAGGTGAAAAATACTTAAATATGTGGTAAATTAGAGACATTTGAAACATTTTGAATTGTAATTACATATATTAAACACATGTGCCATCACGTATGTCAACAAAACAGAACAGAAAGCGGCAAAAGGTCCAAAAAGGTTCGAGTTCAAGTGATACCGAGGATCCAATAATCAAAATGGCGACCAGCGCAGATGTACACAATAAAAAAGGTTCAAAAAAAGGTAAAAATCAGCCTACCTCGGTCCAAAGCAGTGTTTCTTCCTGAGTTAAAACTTTATCCAGTGATCAGAAACCTAGTATGAATCCTAATGCACCAGCATTTATATATCAGCAGTGTGCATACGAACCCGTTTGGTACGATCAAGACCCCTTCCAGTAATCCTAGATTGATGATGTGTTGAAAAAAAGTGACACACGAGGAAAACTTAAAAAAATACAGGGTGAGTTAAAAGTTTTGTCAGACTGTAACAAAAATTTGCAAAAACAAAATAAACAGCTACAGGAGGATGTTACCGATGTTCGCTTTCGCTCTATGAGAGACAATTTGGTAATGCTAGGTACATTGTATCTCAGAGTACCCACGCCTGCTACAAGATTCTATCAGAGGTGCCCCAGCCCTTCCCCTACACATGTCACCAGAAGCCTCAGGTGACAACAGCATGGAGAAATCCCATCCTTCAACCGATGATCCAGCCAAATTCCCTATAAGTACAGGGACAGCCGTGGTCGCAGGCGCCCCGGGTCATAGCCCAGACTCTTATGCGACAGCGGCTGCCACTGAAAGTTGTGCCGAGAAAGTGTTTGTTTTTTGTGAGAGAATTCTTAAAATCCCCAGTGCTAGATCACGCATTAATATTAACCGTGCACACCGTTCACCTACCAATCCAATCCCGGGAAAAACAAGGCCGATTATTGCAAGCTTTGACTATGACTCGAAAGCTTTAGTGTTTCAGTGTTTGATCAACTTCCAAAAGATGTTCAAGCCCACAGGAAGGAACTCGTCCCGAAGACGGTGCAAGCTCGAAAGGACGGACAAACAGCTTACCTTGTGCGTGACAAATTATATATAAACAATGTACTCTATTTCCCTGATCCAGACTCTTCCTCTGCTTAGGACGGGAGAGAAGAGTGTGAACTGACAGTTTTAGCTTGGAATGTCGAAGGGTTAAAGAATTGTTTGAATGATAATGAATTTATTGATTTTGTAACTAATTTTGACTTAATATTTTGTAATGAAACCTGGCAATGTAAAACTGATGTGTATGAAATTCAAGGCTACACAACTATTAGTGTACCTAGACCTGAGAGTGTAGCGGTAAATAGAAGAAGTTTTAGAGGTCACGGTGGTGTTTGCCTATTTATTAAAGATAATATATATCAAGGAATTACTATATTAGAATAGGATGATAGTGGTTTAATTTTGACTAAATTATCAAAGCATTTCTTTCATATTGAATATGACATTTGTATTTGTTTTGCGTACATACCACCTAATGATTCTGTTTATTTTAAATTGCACGACATTGGTTTTTTTGAGATGCTAGAAAGCTATATAAGAAAATATAATGATATGTATAAAGTATGTGTAATTAGCGATTTAAATGCTAGGACAGGGGATCGTAAAGATTTTATTGAACCTGTTGATTTATTTGACAAATATGTATATACTATAGATACTAATACTGAAGAGTGTCACTCTACTTTACCAGATAGGAAAAGTGAGGACCATGTTTGTAATACCTCTGGTTTAAAGTTGCTTGATATTTGCCGTTGCTCCGATTTGAAAATTATAAACGGTCGAAAAGGTGATGATTCTTATGTTGGCAGGTTTACTTTCCTGTCGTCACTTGGTAGAAGTGTAATTGATTACATATAGCATCTTATCATCTATTTCCTATTATATCTGACTTTGTTGTACACGATAGTTTTTCATTTTCTTCACACGTACCAATACAGGTCAATTTTAAAGCTGACTTTTGTGCTAAATCTGAGAATGTTAAATTTGATGTAAAAAAACTTGTATGGGATATTAATAGAGTTGATGTATTTAATAAATTGTTGTTAAACAGTAGTGATTATTTGAATGAAATTATATCTCAAATTACGTCGTCAAATGTATCTATAACTGATTGTGTCAATATTTTTGCAAACGAACTGTATAATGTGGCGCATAAAGTATTTGGTGAAAATAAAACTGTGTACTCACTATCATATAATAGAAAGCATGATAATCCGTGGTTCACGGGCGAATGACGAGAAATAAAGTTTATCGAGCTACGAGGACACATGAAAATTATCTTGTGGTTATTAACAAACGTAGATTTTATAGAAATATTACACGTAAAGCCATATATGCACGACAACAAAGATCTGAATTACATAGTGTTTAAAAAAATAATCCTAAAAAATTTTGGGATTTAGAGTAAAAATAATTGTAACCTAACAGCCAATGACTTTTATGAGCATTTAAAGTCTCTTTTTTTCTGATAGTGATGTTTTTACGAATACAAATGTTGATAATACTGTTAATGATGACACTTTGAATACTCGTGTCGTAGAGCAGTTAGATTGTGACTTTAGTATTTATGAAGTTACTAAAGCTATAAGTACTTTGAAACGCCAGAAAAGTGCAGGGGAAGATATGTTAATCCCTGAAATATTTTTAGATTCAAAACATATTTTAGCACCATTATTGTGTAAATTGTTTAATTATATGTATTCTCATTGTATCTACCCAGAATCATGGACGAAGGGTATTATTGTACCCGTTCCAAAAAAGGGCAATTTTAACAGTGTTGACAACTTTAGAGGTATAATGCTTACTAGTATTTTTTCAAAGATATTTTCACAATTGCTAGACACTAGAGCACGCGCTTTTATTGAGAATAATAGTATTTTAAGTGATTGTCAATATGGGTTTAGACAAAAACGCAGTACTGTGGATTGTATATATGTTTTACAAACTTTGTTAAAAAAGAAATTATGTTGTGCATTCATTGATTTTAAAAAGGCATTTGACCTAGTTTATAGAAATGGAATTAGGTTTAAATTGTTACAATATCAAAGGTCGTCTAAATTTATTAATATGTTGAAAACTATGTACATGTCTGTGAAAACTTGTGTGAGATAAAACGGGAATTTGTCTGAATATTTTGACAGTTATATGGGTGTTAAACAAGGAGAGACGTTATCTCCCCTTTTGTTTATACTGTTTATAATTGATATGGAAGAAAATATTAAAAATATAAATGCCGATCTAGTAACTTTACATGAAATTCAAATTTTTACGCTTCTTTTTGCAGATGACACTGTATTGTTTTCCTACTCTTTAACAGGATTACAGACATTGCTTAATAAGTTACATGTATATTGTCTAAAATGGAACATTACTAAAAATATGTCGAAAACTGTAGCTATGGTATGTGAACTTGGTAACAGACGTGAAAATATTGATGTTTAGTATGATAATGTTAAACTTAATGTTGTCAATAAATTTTGTTATCTAAGTGTAATGTTATCAAGTAATGGAAAGTTTTATAATGCTCAAAAAACTTTATCTGGGCAAGCACTACGTGCCCTATTTACTCTTAACTCATTATTTGATGTTGTATCTTTAGCTGTCTCAGAAAAGTTGAAATTGTTTGATGCAATGATTTTGCCAATTTTAAACTATGCATGGGGATCTTTATGGGGATTCCATAAAGCCCCTGATATTGAAAAAGTGTACATAAGATTTCTTAAACAGATATTGCATGTTAGACAGCAAAACTCTAACATTACTGTATATGCTGAACTTGGTAAAGTACCATTAGATATAATTAGGAAAGAACGTATTCTTAAATATTGGTGTAAAATTGTGAATTCTCCAAATACAATGGTGCACAAAAGTTTTATAGATAGTAAGCATAACAATGTTAAGGATTATTGGGCATTATTTGTTAAATCATTACTAGAAAACTTAGGTTTTGCATATTTATGGAATTGTATTACCATTTCTCAATATCAATTGAATGCTGTGATCGAAAGATTGTATAGTCAATATTATCAAGATTTATACTCAATGATTGATACTATGCCAAAACTGAGTACCTATAAAATTATAAAAGATTGCATTGGATTTGAAAAATATTTGACGTGTGTCAATACTGATGTTTATCGTATTACATTGACTAGATTAAGATGTTCATCCCATAGACTTGCAATTGAAGAAGGTCGTTTCAGAAATGTTGTAAGAGAAGATAGAAAATGTATATATTGTAAAATGAATGCTATTGAAAATGAATATCATTTTGTTCTTGTGTGCCCGCATTATCGAGATATAAGAAATGCATGTCTCCCTAAATATTATTGCCATTGGCCAACGACTCAGAAATTTAAAACTTTGTTAACTACACAACAGTCGAATGATTTAAATACGTTAGCAAAATTTATATATTTAGCAAATATAAAACGCACTGCGTTTACTGATTTGATTTATATTAGTTCAAATGTAATACTGTATTACTTTTTTTGCATGTAAAACACATAATTTTGTTTGTGTGGCCTAATAACATGTACCGATCTTGTATTATACATGTTTATAATTACACGACCCAGTATTCGGAATATTGTATCGGACAATGTAGTAGTCACTTGCAAATAAATTTATGTGCTATTGAATTTGAAATGTATAGATATGAGTGTTTCCATATAAATATATATTATAATTGACATTTATCATCATTCTTTGTATTAACATACTCTTCTCATGATATTTGTTGCCGCCTAATATATTCATTTAGGCAAAAAACTGTATATAATGTTTATATGCCTAATAAAATATTGATTGATTGATTGATTGAATAATTAAAATTATATGATTTTCCTACCAACTAAATTGGTTCAAATACAAATGAGCCGCGCCATGACAAAACCAACATAATGGGTTTGCGACCAGAATGGATCCAGACCAGTCTGCTATCTGTGCAGTCTGATCAGGATCCATGCTGTTCGCTAACAAACCCTATTACAAGTAGAGAAACTGATAGCGAACAGCATTGATCCTGATCAGACTGCGCGGATGCGCAGGCTAGTCTGGATTCATGCTGGTCGCAAACCCATTATGTTGGTTTTGTCATGACACGGCTCATTAATTAATATCACTGGAAATTCAAGTTGGGACATGTTGTTTGCTCTTTCAGGCCATTCTAATTTCTAATCCTCATTTTTATTAAAAGAAACGAGTAGTCGTAATATACATGACCTTTTAAATTTTGTCAACGGCTTTACGGTAAAAATATTAATATTCTAATTTAAAAATCAATTTGGTGAAAACTGATCATTTTCACATTGATTTTGAAAAAAAGCCACCATCAAACGTAACAAAACAATGATGCTAGTATAATACCTTACATTCATATAGGAAATTGTGTCTAAAAGCCAATATAGTAAAAGCCTTTAGCTTACATAGTTCGGAGAGAGAAAATCTAGCCGAGCTATGTGACAGTACGTTTGTCGTCTGCAACTGGTTGACAGCAGAAGGCGCGTTCGATCGATGGCCGTGTTCATTTCAATGATTATCCAGGGCGCTGACATTTCCCCATAATAGATGCCTCATTGGGTGAAACTATCGTCCTTCTCAGCTTTATTGTTGCAGTATGGAATAATAGAACAATAATGGAGTGTTCTTATTAAGTAAATAATATTGTCACTGAGCCTCGATATGATTTGTGCATAATTCCACACAAAAATCGTCTGCTCGGAGCATTAATTGCATTTTGTGGTTTATTCATCTATATGGAGATTAAAGAGGATATCGAGCAACAAAATGAGTTTTAAATCATGATAAATATTCAAATAAGTTGAGAAATTAATCGAAATTCACATATATAGGTTGCCATACATCTGCGCAACAATGCAGACATACAAAGGTATGTATAATTATTCATTGATATAGAATTAGAAATAATAACATTTTTGATAAAGGATTTTCAAACATTTTAATTCTGAAATTTTGTTTTCTCTTACTTAAAAAAAACTGCATCTCTTCTGAATATGTACCGTATGAACTGTTCAAAATGTATTTTATATGGTAATTTTAAAAATAGAATGTTTTTAAATATCAACAAAAGATTTTTGAAGTACATAAAAATCAAATGCAATTTTAATACATTGCCTCCATAAAAAATCAAAATTTCAAATTGACTATAATACAGTCTTTTTTATCTTACGTTTTAATAACAAAAGTAACGGGTTAACTCCCACATGATTTATTAGGAGTTAACCTGTAACTGCACTAAGGTGACCTTACGTTGTTACAATGTTTTATGATAAAAAAAATCAAACTCATTATACATATGTTTTTACTGTAAATATCTGCTGGATTAAGATTTGCTACATGTTTGCAACATACATGTACCCGTTACAGAAAGTTTCAATAACTCTCCGAGGGTATTAAATGTCACTATATGAGGGCGACGTGGCCGAGTGGATAATCTGCCAGACTTGTAATCTAAGGATTGCTGGCCTCATGAGTTCAATTCCCGTCATGGGCAATCCGTTGTTACCTTGAGCAAGAACCTTTACATTCATGACTTAATACTGGTTGGTATCAGAAACGGACTTATTGAGTATTCCAATAAGCTTATAGCTTCCAGTACAATCGAACTATAAAGTAAATGCCATTGTAGACAATTATTGTCTACGATGTAGAATAAATTCAAAAGGTCAGGATTTACGAGCCAACCGTTTAAAGCTATCAAATTCACTCGAAAGACTGTGAATTTATGGATTTTGTAAGTTCCTGCGCTCATATATTTAATACCTTACTCGTTGTAAAAAATGTCAGTACGAAGAAGCATTAGTTTTGGCGAAAGACATTGAATGTTCTTGCATAAAGCTGGTCATTTTTTCACTTAAAAATCTTAAAATAATACTCTTTATAACCGCTACAGAATGAGAGTGGCTTGATCCTCATTACCTCTTCTTATTTTCCCGTGATTAATCAAACTTAATTTAAACTAGAATCAATAGTTGGTATTACTAGATATATTTTAAAACGAGGATGGACAAATAAATGCTGTGTTTCTAGGCCGTTTGCTCGAGCCTTACTCTTATCACATAATCATGTCATATGAACATATTTTGTCATTTTATTCTAAAACTGGTTAGATCAGGAAAAAATCGAACTCGTAGTGATTGGTTTAACATCGCACACACTTTTTCAGAATTAAGTTTATATTTTAAATTAACAATTTAAAACAAACTTGCCATTACGCTATATCTAATATATAATTCAAACTATGATGTAAACAAGCCAGTTTTATTGTAGTATTGTAGCCTGACTACGCATTATAGGCAATTGATTAAACAGAACGAAAATGAACAGTTGGAATTAATATTTAATGTCTCAGTTATAATGCCCTTTTCTATAAACGCAATAAAACGATAGCGAAGTATTCTAAATTGATACATTATTAATGAATTAATAATGAACTTGAATGAGTGTTTGTTGTAGGATGGTTTTCATCAGATATGCTTATTACACATGTATATTTTGACCTGTACTGTTGTTATTGATATAAAATTGATAAAATAGGGGCGTCTCAAACCACAAGTCTCTCATCGCCGTGGGTTCGAATTCCGGCAGGGTCATTGAATTCTTTCAGGAAGCTATCCAGGTACCTTCCGAAACGTCAGTTGTTCTACTAGGGCGTTCGTGAATGAAATAATGCACGTAACGGCACATGAGGTCTTCCTCTACCAATAAAACTGGAACGTCGCGATATCACATGTTCTGTGTCGGATTGATATAGTGTTCTGTGTCGGATTGGTATAAAACCAAAAACAAACGAACAAAATGATAAAGCAATTATAAGGTTTATTGGCTTCTTTTATAAAAAGATACGACAAAAAACATGGACATCCGTATGCAAATAGATTAATTATGAATTGTACTACCAGACAAATTAGTACGAATTATTATCTGCGAATGTTTTGACTTGTATGTATTCGCATATACATGAAAGACATCCACTAAATCACAATATATCTATACTTCATCAACTCTGTTACTCTATTGGAACATGTTTATTGACATTTTGGTGTTAATCATATTTCATCAAAATAACATAAATAATTAACACACGCAAATGACTGGCATTGCATTACATAAATATATGACGAAAGTCGTCTCTTTATTTATTTGTTTAATTTATATATCTTATATTCTAAACCTTAAAATAAAAACAATTTTCATGTTTAAATATGATTTTGAAAAATACATGTATTTGCAGTTCATTTATAAAACCATATACTTGTTAAGATAAGCTTAACCGCGAAATACGTTATGTTCCGGAACAAAGTAGTAATGTAGTATTCAACATGAATTGCTTAAAACCACATTTAGCTTTTATCAACAAGAATTCGACAACAATTAACAGAGTTATTTTTATTTTGATGAAACCAAAAGGTGAAAACATCGATACGTGTAAAACCACCGTCTGTCTCACTATTTTCCTAAGTCTGTCTCCAGGTTAACTGTATACCTAATGGCAATTACGAGGCTCGGACACAGCTATCCTAGAACTTGATATTCCATCTTTAATGACGAGCAAGTGTTTGATGTATTTTGTGTGAAAAAAAAATTGAGAAAACTAGCTAATATTTCATTCAGCGTCCATATAGATGTGTATGAATTCACAACTTCTTTCATGACGTTATCATAATTACGCAACTTATACATAAAGGCATTTAAAAGGCTTCATTTTTAATCAAGCGACTCATCTTACACGTTTTGAAAAGTTTCTTTTGTGAAAAGTCTATAATGTCAAGTGTAACCATTTGTGGTATAAAATACATATACATGTACGTAATGGTTATATTATATAGAAAAATGCGGCGTCGTGTGATTATCGGGAATATTTTATTTCTCGAAGGCATTCATACTGATATTGTATGCAACTGATATTTTATGCACGACTTACAGAGATAACTTAATGCCTTCCAAATTTCGATGATGATTGGTTTCGACTAGACACATTATTGTTAAGCAAGAGATTAATTGCACCCGTAAGAAAGAACATTTTCATATTGAAGACATTAATGTTACAAGAGACGCATGTATTACAGAAAATACGGTTCCTTAAAAAAACAAAAAAACAAAAAAAACAAAAAAAATGTCTAAACAAAAATCTACAGCATTTTGTTTATAATGACGATCAATATGTTAATTAGAAAAAGAAAATGACGTCAACGAGTATAATGTATAGGTAATTTTTACTACTCAGTTATATATCCCAATCAAATAATAAGTACTATTATAAAAAGGAATAATGAAATAATTGGAATTGATTTAATCACAATTTAATCAACTGAATTTATGGTTTTATCTTTAGAGTTATAAGGATATTCTAATATCAATAATATTCTTAATACCATACTGCTTAAAATATTATTTTCTCGTATAATATAGACCAATTTATCGTTATTATAATGATTAATAATGATAACAATTATAATAATAATAATAATAATAATAATTATTATTATTATTATTATTATTATTATTATTATTATTATTATTTTTATTATTATTATTATTATTGTTATTGCTATTATTAGTTTTTTATTACTATCAATTATTATCATCATTATTATAAGTTTTGTTATCATTATTATTCTCATCATCATCATCATCATCATTATTATTATTATTATTATTATTATTATTATTATTATTATCATAATTATTATTATTATTGGGAAGAAGAAAGAATTAAATGACAAGTGTCATTGGATAACTATCTTTAAACAAAGTTTAGTCTTCAAAATAGTGATGTTTCGCGGTTATTAAAGAAAATATGCCATCGAACTTTAACTTAAAAATTTTCAACTCCATTCTTTTATTGAAAACGTGTTTTAAAAACAACACTTTTCCCAAAGCTTATATTTGGCCCTCACTTTCTATTTCATTTCACTGACTTCATAAACGTTAACTACAATTCATATCATTTCCAATCAGTTTAACGCACACTTTGGAAGAGATCTTTATCACATATTCTAAATGAAATTAACCAAGCTTTCCGAACATGTAATGCAACGTTATTTACACACGGCAATTTGTGAGACACGGCTAAATTAATTTGAATGTGTTGTTTCACAATATCAGATGAATAAATAGTATCACAGTTGTTCAGCAATGGAATAGTGCATATTATAAATCAGATAGTTTGTATAGATTCAGTAAACATATATAAGTCTGTTGAACCAATTCTTCATGTCGTGATATAAACTAAAGTTTACACACATTCGTTGGTCCCTGTTAATCACATGGACGGATTGGAGAGCGTGTCAATGAGTTTATAACTTTCTCCACAATCAAACTAAATAGCAGAAATGAGCCGTGTCACGACAAAACCAACATAATGGGTTTGCGACCAGCATGGATCCAGACCAGCCTGCGCATCCGCGCAGTCTGATCAGGATCCATGCTGCTCGCTAACAGTTTCTCTACTTGTTATATGGTTTGTAAGCGAACAGCATGGATCCTGATCAGACTGCGCGGACATTCTGTATTATTCATTGTAAGACTGAAGTTCAAACAAGCATTTCTATCTTCAGTTTTTATCGCCCTCTTAACTCACTTCAGCACATCTGTGGATGTTTCAAAATTTCCAAATTTTATCATTTCATGTTAAATATTGAATACTGCTTAAGCCGGTGCTAGGGGGCGTGGACGGTAAATTGCACTTTCCATTACCGTTCATGAACAGGCTCAATCAAACCGAGCATTGCAACAATTTCAATTTTGTCAGTTTGGGCGTTCTTTAAGGATTCTTTATTTCTATCTATTTCATGAAAACAACAAAATGGTCATTATAAGTATAAACAAAATTAGTTTCGCCAACATGATATTTCTAGAGAAGAAAGC